TTGTGAGAGCTTTCACTCAGCCCTATTGTGTGTTCTCAGCCCTATTGTGGTTATTTCTTCTGTTTTGGGGTCTTAGCTACTTTAGACTCGTCAGGGAGGGAGTCAGAGCATCCCCCTTGAGTTCCTCCATGGCATGTCTTTCCACTGTGCTAGTTTTCCTGAAGACTCGGTGGTTCTTGTCCATCCAGTGCACAGCTGTAGGCTCTGTAACACTTGGGAATTTCCATGTGCTGGAGCCTAGAGAGATGGCTTCACTCTAGTGTTGAGTACTTAGTCCTGGGGAAGTGGAGAGTGGTACTGACAGGAGAGTCACCACAGCTCACTGGTTAGCCATTCCAGTGGATTTGGTGAGCTTCATATTTGGGGAGAGACCCCCATCTTAAAAAATAGGATGGTGCCAGGCATAAGGGTGCATGCTTTTAATCCCAGCACTTGGGAGGCTGAGGCAGGTGGTTCTCCACGATGTCCTCCTGGAATGACTTAGTCCTTGCACTCCTGAGCTCTCAGCAGCTGTAACTACTTGTGCAAGATCTGTGCAAGTTTCTGCCCATGGCAGTAAAGGGTCCATAATGTACCCTTCTAGATACATGGGCAGGTAACGGTTGATTGAGGGAAGGGTTCATGAAACCCTGTTTCATCCCAAGAATATATAGGCAGTTAACAGCTGGTGGGGGAGGGGTTTACAAGGTACTTTCCCTTCCTAGGAATAAGTAGATGGCTAATAGTGGCTGGGGGAGGGGCTCCAGAGGTGCTAGGACATAAAGTGTTAACAGTTGAGCTGGGTAGTGGGTGGTGCAGGCCTTTAATCCCAGCACTGGGGAGGCAGAGGTTAGTGGATCTCTGTGAGTTCAAGGCCAGCCAGATCTACAAAAGCTAGTTCTAGGACAGCTAGGGCTGTTACACAGAGAAACCTTATCTCGAAAAATTAAAAAAAAAAAAAAGCTTTCTTCAAGCATAAGTTGCCTATGCTCCTGTAAGTAATCCTAATTAAACCCATTCATGAACAACTTGTGTGGAGTCATTGATTTGTCTTTAGTACTTTACCTGGGGTGAATGGGCATTTGTTCCTTTCCCTAGGAAAACTCCATGTAACATCTAGTCCAATCAAAATTCTTATATTGCACATGGATATTCGTGTAGTGCTACATATTTGTAATCCTTGAATTTAGGAAGTGTAGGCAAGATTAGGAGTCCAAAGACAAGGCCGGGCGGTGGTGGTGCACATCTTTAATCCCAGCACTTGGGAGGTAGAGGTGGGCAGATCTCTGTGAGTGTGAGGCCAGCTTGGTCTACAAGAGCTAGTTTCAGGACAGGCTCCAAAGCTACAGAGAAAGCCTATCTTGAAAAACCAAAAAAAAAAAAAAAAAAATTCAATGTCCACTGTAAGGAGGCAGTGTGGAGTACATGAAGCATTTGAGCAGGAAAGGTTAGGTGGCATACACTTATCTCAGAATTGGGGAGGTAAAGGAAGAAGGACCAGGAATTCAAGGTTTTCCTTAACTACATATTTGAGTTCTAGGCCATCGTGGGGTGTAAGAACCTGTTCCAATTAACCAAATAAATACTTGAGCATTTTCCAAGAAGGGTCATGCACACCTGCCTCCTACCACGTGGGTTCCAGGGATCCAGCTCAGGTTGTCACCAGAGAATAATGAAGTATAAAACAGCGCTCATCAGGGAAGCGATAGCAGTCTAAAGCTGCTCCAAGGTGAAGAGCTGGCGGCAAGTCAATCAAGGAGCTTACCACATAAAAACACTTGTAACCATAAGTTCAGGTAGTCAATTTAGAATATGGCTGGAGAGATGGCTTAGTGGTTAAGAGCACTGACTGCTCTTTCAGAGGTTGTGAGTTCATTTCCCAGCAACCACATGGTGGCTCAAAACCATCTGTAATGAGATCTTGCGCCCTCTTCTGGCGTGTGGGCATACATGGAGGCAGAATGTTGTATACACAATAAATCTTAAAAAAAAAAAAAGAATATGGATTTAATGTTGTCATCAGACCCCCCTCCCTCAAGGCTCAGAAATGTATTCAGTAGAAAAAGAGAACAGGATTTTAAGAGCCTGAGGTGGTGGATGACTACAAGGAAACCACAGGGAATGATATACTTATTACTCTCTCTGAGAGGCTGGGACAGAACTCATGGGACCTGCAAGGGTTCAGGTTCCAGCACTGTGAGGTGAAGTGGACCCTGGGGTCCCATTGTTATAAACAACAGGAATGATACACTTATGACCTCTCTGAGAGGCTGGGACAGAACTCATGGGACCTGCAGGGGTTCAGGTTCCAACATTGTGAGGGGGAAGTGGACCCTGGGGTCCCACGCCTACCCAAGAAGCTATTTGCAACTATTATCTGCTGGCAAACGGAAAATTAGTTTTCTGCAAGGGAGTGTCATCGAGTATTTCAACTACTTGTCCAGGCAGCCAGGACAACACATATGAACTCCTGGCTTTTTTAAGTGTACTTTTTTTTAAAATTTTTTTTTCGATTTATTTATTATGTGCATTGTGTTCTGCCTGCTTGTATGTTTGTAGGCCAGAAGAAGGCACCAGATCTCATTACAGATGGTTGTGAGCCACCATATGGTTGCTGGGAATTGAACTCAGGACCTCTGAAAGAGTAGCCAGTGCTCTTAACCTCTGAGCCATCCCTCCAGCCCTTAAGTGTACTTTTTGTTTTGTTTTGGCATTATCTATTTATTTGCTTTTTTGAAGACTGGGTTTCTCTGTGTAGCTTTGACTGCCCTGAAAATCACTTTGTAGATTAGGCTGGCCTCGAACTTGGAGATGAACCTGCCTCTGCTTCCTAAATGTTGGGATTAAAAGTGTGCACCAGCATTGCTTGTCACATTTTGGCATTTTTCTGTTTTACTAGTTTCCTATTTGCGTTTTTTTTTTTTTTGAGAGAAAGAACATGAGGTGGGGGTAGGGAAGTGAGGAGGCTCGAGAAGCTGGAGAAAACATAATGAAAATATACTGTATGAATTTTTTTTAAAAGAAAAAACCAATATGGTCCTAGATTGCAGCAGAAAATGGATACTACCACATTTTTTAGCGAATTTTCTTGTTCCTCACATTTATTAAGAGGACATTGTTGTGACAATGACATTGAGTATGCAAACACTATTGTGTAATATGAAATTTCACAAGTATGTTTTAGTGTTTTGAAAACAAAAAAAATTGTTTATAGAATTTTCTGAAAACTATTCCTTGAAAAGCTAGGTCACATAATGTAGGTTTCTTTCAGTTAGTAAAAGAAACAGGGCATGTATGTAATTTAGACGCGGGTGAAAGTAGTTGTTTTTTTTTATTGAGAATGAACCAATTTCTACCATATTACTCTTTGTAAATGGTATCCACTAGAATTTACACATTAGTCTTCGGTCCTTAATAGATAATTAACTTCATTAAAAATTTCATGTTCATTATCATTCTGAAGAGCTTTAAAATGTAACGTCATATTCTCATTTATAGGCAGTATTGTCAATCCGAAAATTGAGGTCTAATGCACTCATCCATTTGGCTGGGGAAGTAACCAACAGCATCAGTTGTAATCCCGCTAACAACCGCCAGGGCGAGGTGCATCTGCTAGGTCTTTACAGGGAGTCCTGGAAATCCCGCACCATGACATCCGCCGCAGACGTAGGTGTAGACGAGGAACAAAAGACCCTCGGGCCGCCCTCCCGCGGCTCCGCTCCGAACTTCCCGGCGGGGCTCCCGGGCGAGGGTCGCTGCCCAAGGGGCCACGTCGGGCAGGAGGAGCGAAAGGCGCGGGTGGCCGAGGCCCCGTCAATGTAGGGCACAGGCGCTGGGCAGGCCCGGGAGCGCGCGCTCTGCCAGGCACCGACGGCCGAGCCCGGACAGCCCGGGTCCCCGGGGCGCGCACCGTCGTGTGGCCCGGCCGCAACCTAGGCGCGCAGGCCCTTAGCCGCCGAGGGCACGGCCGCAGGCAGAGCGCGGTCGGGGCTGTTCCGGGCCAAGTTTCCCGGCCCCACGGGGTTCGGTTCTGATGGGCACCAAGTTGTCCCAACAGATCCCACAAAATGGAGGACGACGTCTCCTCCCGCCGCAGCCATGGCGGAGGTGGGGGACCATTCCCACGGGCGAGGCAAGGTGGAAGTGCCCGCACGGCCGCCAGCGCGCCCGTCCCCTGCAGCCGCGGCCCCTCGGCCCGCCGCAGGCACTGCGGGGTTCGGCCGTCTCCCCGGGTCTTGCGGCCTGGACAGGGAGGACGCCGGGGCATCGAGGCCGCGTAGCTCCTCGGGCAGAGTCGCGGGGGACCGCGGCGACCGTCTGGAGGCCGAGGCCCGGTGGCCCGATCCCGGCCCCGCGGGAAGCCTCGACGAAGACTCCTCCGCCCCGAGGCCGCACGGCGATCCGTACCGCGGGCCTCGCCTCTCGGGCTCCTGACCCCGGCGGACCCGGCGAGTGGGGGCGGGGCGGGGCGGGGGCAACGAAGGAGGGAGGGAGGGAGGGAAGGAGGGAGGGAGGGAGGAGGGAGGGCTAAGCCTGAGGCTGGCGGGGGGGTGGGGTTGGGGGGGGAGGGAACGGCAGGCACGAGGGCGTGGCCGAGCTTTGACGGACAGCCGGTCTGACTACCTCACCCTGAACGAAGGCCGACGGAGCCAATGGACATGCCCGAGGCACTCCGGGCCGCCTTCGCCAGCAGCCAATGAGCGTGCGGAGGGCGGGGCCTCCCTGGGCTCCGCCGCGCCGCCGCCTCCTCTACCTCCTCCTCACCAGCGCTAAAGCCGGGACTGGACCGAGCGGAGTTGTGCGTGTCGCCGAAGGGGGGTGGGCCGGGGGAGGGGAGGTTCGTTCCGCGGAGCTGCAGCCAGAACCGGGTGAGGCTTATCCCCGCTGTCTTTCCTGTCGAGGGCCGCGGAGAGTGGGGGTGGCTGGGAGCAGCGCAGCCTCGGGAGGAGGAGGCGGAGGCGGGGGCGACTGGGGAGGCGGAGATGGGTGAGGGCAGCCTCGGGAGCCTCCCACCGACCCGGGCTTAGCAGCCCGCGGCGGCCGGTGTCGGCGCTGCTGCGTCGGGGCCTCGGGGTGCGCTGGGGGCCGCGTTCATGTCCCGGGCGGCTTCGCGTGCGACCCGAAGGCTGAAGGAGCACGGGCGCGGCCGGGCGGGCTGGGTGAGGCGGACGCCGGGGCTAGGGGCGCGGGGGCCTCGGGGCGCGGGCGGCGGCGGCCGGAGGTCGTGGGGTGTTTTCCTTTCTGTGCTGCTGGCGGGCGGGCCGGGGAGGGGCCCGTTGGCCCTCCCTCCTGGGGTCCGCACTCCCACCCTCTTTGCCTGACCGAGACCCCAAGTTTTCGAAGGCGAGCGGCGCCGCCTGAGTCTCGCCGGGTCCTCTTCGTCGCTGGTCTGCTCCCCGGCGCTGTGCTGCGCGGCTCTTGCTCCGCACGTATTGTTTGGCTGGGTCTCTAATGGCGGACGGGGAGGCAGCGCTGCCGGTCGCGGACTGCAGGGGGGGCAAACCTCGGGCCCAGGGCAACTGCTTGGGGCAAATATGGGCAATATCAGCCCTACGCAGACGTGAACTGTTTCTTACCTGTAAATTGGTGCTGAGTTTGATTGGGATGACGGTGGGTGGTAAGATTTGAGAAGGAGTGCAAGTCCCCTTGCTGGCGTCGGGGCAATGTTTGTTCTCCACCCCCCCTCCCTTTCCCTAGAGCAGCTTGATGCCCTCAGGTCCCTTCCCCTGGAGACTGTGGCTTTCACATACGTTTGGCCCCGAATAAATATTTCGCTTCACTTGCTTAGCAGTGGGCTCTTTTGCGTGGGCTCGGGATAATAATAGAGGGCCGAACCTCCTTGACCTCTTAGTCCCTTCTCTGCCTCCTCCTGGTGAAATAGACTTGGTGCTCCTACCAGATTGGGTGTTGATCCATTTTTCTTTTCCTTTTTTCTCTTATCCCAGGACCAGAAATTTCGTTCAACCCTATCTGGTGCATCTTTGGCAGAAAGTGAAGAAAACACCCCCATTGTGAGTCCTTTGCATCCAATTTGTTGCTTAATACAGAGGACATCGTCAGCTTTATATGGGCTCAGTTATGGTACTTGGCCCTCCTGGTTGTTTTCAGGAGGAGGAGTCTTCGCTTGGGTGGCAGCTGCTCCCGGGGAGAAGCCCTAGTGATGCCTGGTGAGGCAGCTGGGAGTGGGCGCTGCTGTTTCCACCGCTGCAGACATCGCTTCTGCTGCTGCAATACCAACCTCAGCAACCAGACGACGGGCTTCTGCAGCTGCTCACGTTACCGGGGAGGAGGGGTGGTGTGAAGGAGGGCATATTTCTGGTGCCCTCTAGAGTTGCAAAGTGGGAATTCACGTTATTTCGTTTGAAGTGCACGCAACCATTTTTTGACATTTTTCTTGTCATAATGGTTAATTGATCTAAGGTATTGGAAAACCTAAGAGAGAGCTGCTTAACTTTTTTTTATTTCTGGTCTAAATGACAAAATTTGGGCCTTAACGGTGGATGTATTTCTAGATATTTTCATGTCTTTGGTTAAGAAACGACAAAATATCTGTTTCTTTAGTATCTATCTACTGTTTCACCTCATCAAGTAGAAACTGCTTGGAGCTGTGTAGTCTTTCTTCTCCGGTGTTGACTGATCTTCCATTAATTCACTCTTCTTAATTGTTAAAGATTTTATTGTGTGTATCTGATGTATTTGTGTTGGCTGCGCATTCCGCAGCACCACTGTGTAGGTAAGGATAAGTATTGGAGTTGGTTCTACTTTTTGAGGCTTGCTAGATTCCATGGAGCCAGCTCAGGTTGTTAAACAAGCACCTCTCTCCACTCTGCCGTCTTGCTAGCTCTGTCACTTATTTTGAGGCGAGTCCGAGTCCCTGGTTGACCTTGAACTTTTATCGCTTAGCCTCCGTGATTTTGAACTTGACCCCTCTGTCTCAACTTTACAAGTGCTGAAATTACAGGTATATGCCTTCTTGCGAGGTTTATGTGGTGCTGGGAATCAAACCCAATGTTTCCTGCATGCTAGCAAGTACTCTACCAACTGAGCTACATCCCTAGTCCCAAACATTCTTGAGCCCAGCACAGTTCGAGTTGTAATTTGTAGACTTTCAAAGGTGTGTTATAATAATTGGAATTTATAGTTTCTTTTGATATCTTTATTTATTTTTTAAAGATTTATTTATTAGTGATGTATACAGTGTATCCCTGTCCACCAGAGGAGGGCGCCAGATCTCATTACAGATGATTGTGAGCCATCATGTGGTTGCTGGGAACTGAACTTTTTAAATTCTTTCAGTATCCTACCTGTAGGCCAGAAGAGGGCACCAGATCTCATTATAGGTGGTTGTGAGCCACCATGTGGTTGCTGGGAATTGAACTCAGGACCTCTGGAAGAGCAGTCAGTGCTCTTAACCGCTGAGCCATCTCTCCAGCCCTCTTTTGATATTTCATATGTGTATGAGTATTTTGCTTATATGAATGTATGTGCACAATACATGTATCTAGTGTTCAAGGATGTCAGAAGAGGGTATTGGATCCCCTGTAACTGGAGATGCTGTAAGCCACCGTGTGAGTGCTGGAAACTGAACTTGAATCCTCTGCAAGAACAAGTGCTTTCACTGCTGAGCCATCTCTCCAACCTAAGGTTAAACATTTTTTTTTTACGTGTATTAAGTAATTTAATTTATAGAACTTGGTGGTATAGCTAATATTTTTCCCTTTTGAATATCTTTTTGATTCTTAGTTTGCAGAGGAGGAAATAGACATAGAAAGATACGGGGTAATATTTAGTAAAGCCAGGTCTGAACTTGGCAGTATGATTGGTGGTGGAGCCCAGCATCAACAACCATGCTCTACCTTAAGATTCTCATGACATCTCAAATGAAACTGAGTCAAAATGATCTTTTCCTGCTTGGAAGTAGAAAAGTGCTTGAATCCTGTTGAATGGCTTTTTAAAAAATAAGAGAATGCCAGACATTGGTGGCTCATGCCATTAATCCCAGCACTCAGGAGGCAGAGGCAGGTGGATCTCTTTGAGTTTGAGTCCAGTAAGGTCTATGGAGTGGGCTCCAAGATAGCCAGGGCCATACAGAGAAACCCTTTCTTGGAAAAAATAAAGGGGATAGGAATACACTCACACTTAACTTGCATTTATCTAATTAATTTTGACTAGGATTATGACCCAGACTGGCCTTGAATTCACTGTATAGCACAGGATGTCCGTGTGCTGTTCTTTCTGCCTGTTTCCTGATTGGTGATGTTACAGGCATGTGCCAGCATGGCCTGCTTCATTTAGATTTTTTCTTTTTTGCTGCCTCAACCAGCAGAGGCTGTTTGTAGCAGTATTATTTTTTGCAGTATATGTCCCGATTAGCCTGCAAATTTTGTTATTGTTATTACTATTATTTCAGACTAGGTTTTACTCTATAGTCCTGAAGCTCATTTTGTAGACCAAGCTGGCGGTGAACTCAAATTCACCTCCCTCAGCATTCCAGGTGCTGGGATTGCAGGTATGCGCCACCTGACATGGCCTGGCTTTGTGTTCCTCATTTGGTGAGTCAGTTCTTTGTCTGGCACTTTGGTATTCCATAGAAGCTGGCAGAAGAGCGTTTTTTCAGCTTGCATGTATATGAGCCTGTCAGACCATAGATTGTATAACAGGGTTCATTTTGTAGTCTGTCCCTCTGTTTTGCTTGTGTGAGGTACAGAAGTATGCAAGCAGCGCTGTTGGGACAAAGTGCATCTTTGCCTTCAATAAGATGCTCTAGTATTACTGTGATAGAAAAGAATATGTATGAAATCATGGAACTCTTGGTTGTCAAGAGTTAGTTGTGGTATATTTTAATTTTATCTCTTTATACATTGCTATCTGTCCTATTTCATTGATACCATTAACATATTTTATTATGTTAAAGGTACTTCTTATAAGGAATCGTAGGCATATTATTTGCTTCTTGCTGTATGTCGTTAAGGATTATAAGAAAAGCTTAGACTGCTAACCCAGTCTGAGTGCTAGGATTCCATTTGTGAGCTACCACAGTAGAAACTTGAGAGAGAGAGAGAGAGAGTGTCTGTCTGTCTTCCTATCTTTCTCTTTCTGGAATATCTCTCATTAGGAAACAGATATCCTGGATTCCATGTTTAGTAAATTTTTATTTTAACGTTAGTTGATTAATTTTCCTTCTAATTCTAGCAGTATAGTATGAAGATTTTACAAATTGAACATACTCGTCTAAAAGGTGTGCAGATCCGAATACATACAACTCATAAAGTTGCCAGTGAGAAAAAACAGGCTGTTAGATAAGTGCCCAAGTTTGAAGTATGCGGTTCAGAGCAGCAATTACAGTTCATTATTTTTTGTATACCATCCAGGAAATTCTGTTTTACGTGTTTGGAGTTGGAAATTGGAAATTTATATCTGTAGTCCCATCTTCCTTTCTTCTTTTTTTCCCTTTCTCTCTTTCTCTCTCTGCTTACCTGCCTTTCTTTGACCACAATGGGGGATTAATCTAGGGTCTCATGCTAGGCAAGAGCTCTACCATTGAGCTACAACCTCAGCTTGTGTTATCTTAGTTTTAGAACAGCTACATCATTCATTCATTCATTCATTCTCAGCATAGCAATAGCCAGAGCATTTCCATTGCCAGTGCTAAATTCATGGTAAAAAGAGAGTTGGTCAAGCTGAACTTGGTGCCGAATCCTGGTGTGGTTGCGCACACCTTTAATCCCAGCACTCTGGAGGCAGAGGCAAGCCGATCTCTGTGAATCAGATGTCGAGGGAAGTTGGGGTGTGAACTGGAAGCAGGAACTATGTAGGAACACTGCTTCCTTGCTTACTTTCTGGCTTTCTCCCAGGCTCATGTTTATCTAGTTTTTCTTCCCTCCTGTCTTCCTTCATTTTTTCTCTTTCTTCGCTCATGTCTTTCTAGATTTTCTTTTTCTATTGCTCTCTTAATTTTTCAAAGAGGGGGCTTTCTCTATATAACAGCCCTGACTTTCTTCACTTATAGATGAGGCTCTCCTTGAATTCACAGAGATACACCTGCCTCTGCCTTCTGAGTGCTGGAATTAAGGGTATGCAACATTATGCTGGGTTTATCTAGTTTTCTTAAATAATCCATTATGTCAGATATTTTGATCACATTCTGATGTTCCCTAGACTGCCAATAAAATTCGCTTTGAATCAGAGGGCGAAGATAGCTACTAGCTGACTAAAATTAACCATAGAGGTTTTGGGGGACTGAGGACAGAAAGACAGTAGGGTGGGAGGAGAGGGTCTTGTCCTTCCTTGATTGAAGAATGAAAGAGAGGAGGTCACTAGTTGCTTCTCTGCCGCTTTTCTGATCATTCAGTTCAGGTTCTTACTGTAATATTTGACTTATAAAGAATAATTAGATGAGTTTTTTTTTCCCCCCTCTTCTCTGAGATAGGGTTTCTCTGTAGTTTTGGAGCCTGTCTTGGAACTTACTCTTGTAGACCAGGCCTGCCTCTGCCTCCTGGTGTTGGGATTAAAGGCATGCGCTGCCTTTACATAAACTCTTTTTTTTTTCTTTCTTTTTTTGTTTTTTGAGACAGGGTTTCTCTGTGTTTCTTTGGAGCTTGTCCTGGAACTAGCACTTGTAGAACAGGCTAACCACAAACTCACAGAGATCCGCCTGCCTCTGCCTCCTGAGTGCTGAGATTAAAGACAGGTGCCACCACCGTGTGGCTCTGGATATACTCTTTAGGCCCAGGTCCTCTTGCCCCAGAGATGCCCACATTGGGCTGGGCCCTCCCACATCATAAGTCAATAATATTCCTCAGACATGGCACAGGCCAATCTGATTTGAGCGGTCCCTGAACTGCAGCTCTCCCTTAGATTATTCTAGGCTATGTCACCTTGACAGCTGAAGCTGTATTATGTCTCTAAGATCCTAAGAAACCATTGAAAATTAGAAATAATAACTTCTTTTTTTGGTCAAGAATAAGTTCTTCTTCGTGGCCAGAATTGTATGTGTTGTGTGTATGTACAT